TAAAAAGAACAGAAAAGTTCTCTAGAAACTGATGCCAAATGAACTCTAAGACACATAAAACAAAACCAAGGTGCAGACTAGTAAATACAGTATTCTACAAGTTGCATAAAAGAGAGAAGGTAGAATATATTATATATGGAATATATTTTATATATATATATACATATACATAATCATTAAATATGAAATGTCCAATTTCAAATCAAAAGTGTAGTTTATTATATCTCAAAGAAGAAGCAGTGCAATTAATCAAAGTACGAGTCTAAATTATCCACACAGTTTTGGCATCTTAAGGGTAGCTTGTTTATGCCAATAGCAAAGAAGCCTGGAGATCAAATGTTGATGAAATCCCAAAAGGCATTTTCCACAGCTTATTGAGAATTGAATATTTTTCCTTGCAAGAAGTGGTCCAAAGCCTGGAAGAAGTGGTAGTCAGTTCAAGGTCTGCTGAATATGGTGGATGACAAGAGAGTTTCCAAGTCTGGCTGCTGTAGTTTGAGCAGCATTGTTTGTGTGACATGTGGTCAAGTGTTGTCTTGCAAGAAGATTGGCCTCTCACTATTGACAAATCTTGGCTGCTTAGTAGCAAGTATCCTTATCATTTCATCCAATTGGTTGCCGTAGACATCTGCTGTTATCAATTGACCAGTTTTCATTAAGCTGTCATGGATAATACCGGCGCTGGACCACCAAACAGACACCATTAGTTTTTTTTGCTAAATATTCAGTTTTGGACCGTCTTTTGGCATTTCATCTTTATCTAACCATTGTGCTGAATGCTTGTGATTGTCAGAAAGAATCCATTTTTCAACACATGTAACAATATGGTATAGAACTGGTTTGCCTTTATGTCATGACAGCAAAGAAAGGCAAACTTTGAGACAATATCTCTTCTGATGTTCATTTAATTCATGCGGTACCCATCTACCCAGCTTCTTTACTTTGCCTATTTATTGCAAATGGCCCAATGTTGTTGGAATAGTAACGTCAAACCTTGCTGCTAATTTTTTTTTTTTTTTTGAGACAGAGTCTCACTCTATTGCCCAGGCTAGAGTGCCTTGGCGTCAGCCTAGCTCACAGCAACGTCAAACTTCTGGGCTCAAGCGATCCTACTGCCTCAGCCTCGCAGGTAGCTGGGACTACAGGCGTACACCCTCATGGTAGGCTAATTTTTTCTATTTTAGTTGCCTGGCTAATTTCTTTCTACTTTTAGTAGAGACGGGGGGGGGGGTGGTCTACTCTCTTGCTCAGGCTGGTCTCAAACTCCTGAGCTCGAATGATCTGCCTGCCTTGGCCTCCCAGAGTGCTGGGATTACAGGTGCGAGCCACCGCCCCGGGCCTCCTTGCTGCTAATTTATGTGTAGGTTGAGACGGATTCCCTTCCACTACAGCTTTCAGCTCATCATTATCCACCTTGGTCTCAGGTGGTCCACATGGCTCATTTTCAAGATTAAAATCATCAGAATGTCCTGTGTGTTCATTAGCCACATCCTTCCCAAACACTTCATTGATATTTCGAACTGTGCTGCATTGGTTCCATGACGGAATTCATATTCAAAAATAACATGAATTTTTGACCTATCCAGGGTTTCACAAAAATTGCTCTAAAAAAAAGGTGAAAGGTAATCACAAGCCAGAATGTGCATTTGAAAGACTGAGGATGTACCTTCACAATAAAAATAAAACAAGAAGTGTCAAAGTGAAATGTCAGAGACATCAACTGCCAAACCTAGTATTTAAGGAAATCAGACATTTCATACTTAATAACCTAATATATTCTTTCCTCTCTCTTTGCTTGATAAGCAAAAAGCTTATCCAGTTACTTGCTTTATAAGCACAAAATATCTTAGAAGTATACTCAAGACCTGGAAAGTTATACAAGAATAACTGATTATCTCTAAGGAGAGGAACTGGCTGCCTTGGGGAGAGAGATGGGAGAGCCTTTTCCCTGTGTGCCCTTTTGCAAGGATTGAATTTAGACTCAATGAATGAACTGACAGTTAAAAAAGTAAAATACAAATGTTGCCTCCCAGCTACATAACATCATCCCCCCCAACCTCGCCTATCACCAGTGAGTGATATGGGGTCAACCTCCTCAGTATGCTCCTCTGTAAACAGACACCAAGCACATGTCTATTTACAAAGCCAGTTTAATGAAACTACTATATAAACTCAGTTTGCAGAAAAAGTCCATTGAGTCTCCAAGATGGACAAACTGTAAGCTGTGATCCTCAACAACACATTCAGAGTTTAGAAATGAAAGGAAGCAGAGATATGGGATTAAAGTTAATGATAGTTTAGGATCTGCTAGCGTTGTATTTTTTAGTGGCAAGAACATTCTTGGGATCTTGAAATCAGGAGAAATATTCAGTGAATGTAAAAAAAAAAAAAGTCTGCATTATCAACAAATTATCCCCAAAGCAATTAAGCGTGAGAACTAAGTGTGACAGAGTTTTGAGGTTGAGTGGTGTCCTCTAAAAGGCAGAGACAGACAGGAGGGAACACATGAAGAAGGAATTAGGAATCTCCTTTTCACCCAGAGCCTATTTTTGTCTTACTATACACATTAACCAATTTTCCACAGAAGTGGTGCTTTTAAAATTCTTTTTCATGAACCGAATCTAGGGGTTCACTAAACTGAAAAGCATGTCTGGTTAAAAAAATGCCAAGTGTGCAACCCAAAGGAGTAAAATTCTAGAAAGTTATCTTTGAAGGGATAAGGTTGAAAGTGGTCTATAAATTTAACTAAGGATGACAGTGCCTAACTATTCTTTCTACATGGAAAATCCATGACTGATGAGTTTGCCCTCACACTGGTTACACTCTATAACAAACTTCCCAATAAAATAGAAAATTGATTGTAAACCAGAACATGATAGAGGCGAAAGAGACCTTGGTCTAATTTCCAGAACATACAGCCAAATAAACTGAGATCCAGAAAATTGCCCAGAGCGACCCAGGTAATTAATGGTAAAGCTAGATCTGCTTGGTCTTGTTTTTATTTTTGTCTTTAAATATTTTAAAGCACACTGATAACCATTGATCTTGAATGGACCTCAAAGCTATACAGAAAGGCAGGGGGCTTATTTAGAGAAGTTCCCCCCCCCATGGATTTAACTCCTTCATAAGTGCAATACATTTGTTGTGTGCGTATGTGCTTATATTTGAGAGGAATTAGTATTTATGATGCTGGAGAGATCTTTGGCATCATATCAAAATGATCAAGAAATATCAAGTTATTATGCCAAATACTGGGCCACTCCCTAGGCTGAAATGTTTCCAATTGCTTCCAAATTCTGTGATAAAAATCAAGGACTCAGAAAGCTGAGAAACAGATCCACTGTTTCTGCAATGCGGTTTGTCAACTCTATTTGTGCCCTGTGGGCCAGTCTCAGGGTTGGATTTTCTTATCTATGAAATGGGGACAGCGACCTCAACTCAGATTTACTTGAGTGTTCTGAGGCAGGCATAAAAGGAATAACACTGAAATTTTTGGCACATAAATATTGCTGTGTAATAGTGACGTCTGTCAAATAGTTATGGATACTCAATATGGAATGGTTAATAAACATGGCTATGTTAATATTCTTATTGTTGTTACATGATTGTCTTAAGTTGCCAAGTTTCTGAACATTTTCTGGAACTGAAGAAATAGAAAGGGGAATTTCAATACTATGAAATGCTATCATAATAACATGGTACCTGTGAGCATATCTATAGAGTCACCCAAACTGCCATGGTTAGCAGTATAAATTCTTATCTTTTGCCTAAGAGTAAATACATTCTTTCCCACAGTTCTGAATGCAGGACAGAAGATCGCACCAGAATGAAGTCAGATAGCACCATGTGTATTCAATGTAACACTTTGTTAAACGGAGTATTTCCCCAAACCCAAGGCACCTAAAATTTTAACTCAGAAGACTTTCTAACTGGGAAAAGGAGGAAGGAGTTACTTTAGTGGGAAGTGAACTTTTCTTTAAAGAATCACGCTTCCAATTTCTTGAGTACTGCAAGCAAGGGATCGCGCAAGTTTTTCTTGCAAGTTTTCCTGGAGGAGAAACAAAAGTCAAGAAGTAACAGTTCAGAGGGAGGATAAGCAAAAGCTGTTGGAAATACCCATCTCCTCAAACTGATGATGCATTTTAATTTCAGCTTCGATAACGTCTCTTCCTGTAAAACAAGGGCGAGATGTAAACTAAAAGGTGGCAGAGGTGTGGCATATTGCTCACGTTTAAACTCTGCTTGTCAGAAACAGCAGTCTCAGCTGGGAAAGAAGGTTTAGGAAAAGGCATCCGTCCTTCAGTCAGATCCCCCTGCAGGAAGGGTGGCGACAAGGTTGGAACAGACCCCTGAGCGCGAGAGAGGACGCCTTCGGGGTGAACAGCGGGGTTCCGGGGGCCCAGCAAGGTCAGGGGGCGCCCCTGACCCCAGCTGCTCTTCGGTTTAGCCACCCTCTCTTAGAAAGCCCGGAGGGGATTTGTCTGGAGTTAGGCTCGCTGTAGGCTGTCAACGTTCTTTAGGACCTCAGGGAAACCCAGGCGTTTCTGGCTTTAGGACCCAGGAACTCCCAGGCAGCCTAGACTTAGATGCCTTGGACCACAGCACCACCTACTTATAGAAGCATCCCGAGCCTCTGGCGGTCTGCATCTCCATCGGAAAGTGTGCTCGCCACATCCCTGCGAATCACTTCGGCCTCACAGTAGGGTTCCGTCTCCTACAGTTTGGAAAGGGAGAACCCTTAGCTGTGAAGGGAACGTGTAGAGAGCTCGAGAAGCGGCACAATTGCACAGGGCGCGGAGAGTGAGAGCCGGCGTACCCCTCGCCCGGGATCGCACTCGCTGGCGGGGACGGAGCATCCCAGTGGCTGCAGACGCGCTCGCTCCTCGGCGCTCCTGCCTGGCGCCGCCGGTCCGAACGATCCTCAGCGCACGCCGACTCCTCGGCGGCCACCGGAATCCCAGAGCTGCCGGGGGCTCCCGGCGGGTCTCGACAAACTTTTCCCCAGCCCACGTGCTAACGAAGCGGCTCGCTTCCCGAGCCCGGGATGGAGCGCAGCGCCTAGGCACGCCGCGCCGCCCGAGAGCTACGTGCGCACGGTAGGCGACCCACACCACGACAGCCGCGGCGCTTGGGCACCCCATCGTGGGGACCCAGGGGCCAAGAGCGCTCTTTTAACCTCGCGCTCTCAGTGCCTTTGGAACTCTTTCCCTTCCCCGAGCGCCCACATAACCTCCTTCCCCCCGGCTGGGAGCCCATAGCTCGGCAGCGGTTGCTCATTCACTGATTGTAATCACCTTCCTCTCCAAGTCGTCCGCAGCTGCGCGCTCTGGATTAAGCTGTTCCGCGGCTCGTGCCGGGCGGGAGGCTCGCTTCCCCCTTCCCTCCCCTCTTTAAATCGGGACGCGCGAAGGAGCAGCTGCCTCTGCCGGGCTCTCTCCATCCCCCACCCGTCCTGTTTCTCTCTCCTCATCTCTCAGGTTCTCGGCGGAGAGATGCCGACCGTGCGGAACTGACCGGTGCGGCCCGGGGCTAGTGGCGACTCTCCCTCGGAGTCCTCCCCAGCAGCGCGGCCCGCGCCGGCTCCTTGGATGAGCCCTCCAGTTCCCCGACTTTGAGAGGCGCCTGTCTCCCGCCCGACCGTCCAGATGCAGTTTCGCCTTTTCTCCTTTGCCCTCATCATTCTGAACTGTATGGATTACAGCCACTGCCAAGGCAACCGATGGAGACGCAGTAAGCGAGGTGGGTCACTCTCTGCCGAAGGTGCGTGGGGTCCGGGGGTGGGTGGGCGGTCGCGGCGCTCACTGGCGCCCTGGCTCTGGGTGCTCAGGTGGGCAGGACATGCTCTCCACGCCAGCTCTTGAGGGCCACCACTGCTTACTTTTAGGGCCCGGAGCTATGCAGAATGCTCAGTCTTTCCTGTTCGTTGTAGGCGCGGGGAGCGGGAGCGAGACGCGCTGGGAGCCCCGTGAGTCGGCGTCTAGCTGGCGCTCCGGGCTCAGTCGTGCGGTCCGCGCCCGCGTTCGCCTCCCGGCCGCCTCTCGTCAACGCTTCCCTTTTCGGCCGCATTTCTTATCTGGCATTCATTTTTCTTGTCTTTTTGTCCTCTTGACCATCTTCCCTATAGGTGATCTGTCTTTGCCTTTCCCACCCACGTGCGCCCCAAATCCCGGCCTAGTATCGTGTGTGTCTATATGTGTGTGTGTGTGTGTGTGTGTGTGTGTGAGAGAGAGAGAGCGAGCGAGCTGCGAAGATGTATTAAGTCGAGGGGGAGGACCTACCCGTCTAGGAAAAAGAGCAACATTGATCTCTTTTTCTGGAACCTGAGAGGAGACGGGAACTTTCTGAATTGAGTGGCAACTCATGCACAGGTTTTCTGGGGAGTGCTCGTCTGCAGAGTGATGTTTTTAAAACGGGCCCCGCTTTGCTTCCTCCATTTGCTTCCCTCAAAAGCAGCTATTTTGGAGAAAGATTTCTGTTCTCAATGAAATTCACTTGCGGCTTTTTGACCGCTCCCTCCCTCTCCATCACTTTGTGCGCAGCAGCGAAGGCGAGTGGAAGCCTCCAGAAAGGTTGCAGGGGACTGGTTTCCCACAGATTTAGTGTGTGCATTTCTGCCTCTGAGTCCTGCTGAGGCTGCAGCTAATCCAACTGCATTTTAGGGGAAGGGCTGCTGGGCACAGTTACGTCTTCTGGGGGATTTAAACATAAAAAACGCGCACACTGAATTACCTGCGCAGGAAGGTGCGCAGCAGTCCCTTGCAGGTACCTGGTGAGAGCTGTCTTTGTCCAGCAGTTAGAACTTTTGCGCAGTTAGAATTTGTTGCAAGGTTCATACATCTTGATTTCCGCTCCTGCCCCCAATAAACGTCTCGCTGGACCTGTGATGTAATTTGTTTACAATTCATTTTATGTAATCTCTGGTCCTGCATATAGATTTTGGGGAGGGCTTTTCTAGTCTTATTTTTTTGGGACTTTTTAGGACGTCCTTATGCTGTTCTCACCTACAGGTAGAGCTAGAGGTTGGCCCACCCGAGGGCAGAGCTCCAGATAACCGATGGCGTGCGACTTCCGTATTCTCTGCTCTCCAGTGTAGCTGTGTATGCGCGTGCGGTTTGTAAGAAGGATCCCCCCCACCTCTCTCTGCCCCTCTCATTTCTGACATTTGGAAAATGCTTCTTATTTTCAGAACTTATTCTACCAAAAAAAAAAAAAAAAAGGGAGAAATTTCTTCCAGAGAACTTGATATTGATACTTGTCTTGAAAAAGTCTCTTTTCATCTTCTCTTCGCCCCCCCCCCCACCCCAGGTTCCTTTTCCCACCCGATTGTTTTCTTTCGAGGTATTATTCGGGAGAGCCGGCAATTTTTGATTACACTGTGGTCAGAAGTGTTTGGAGAGGCTTTTCCTCTTATAAGAGGAGAGCAGAATTGCTGTCTATTTAGTTGAAAAAACTAAAGTGCTCAAAGTTTGCAAAATATAGAAATATCTAAAACCCTCTGCCAAATTGTTTATTGGATGACTTACTAATTCAGTGATCGCTTTCTGATCCACACTGCCTGTTCCACTGTGGTTGAGTGGAGAAGAATCAAGCGTATTGTTTCAGTGGAACTTAATGCGGAGATGCTGCTTGGAGAATGGCATTACAGCACTCCTGCGGCCAGAAGGGATACTGCACGCGTTTCTCCGCAGTGCCATCCCGTAAGGTTCTGCCTGTGCCTTCGTAGGTATCTGAGGCAGAACCTACTTATTTCAAAGCTTGCTTTTAGCAAAATCTCTTGTAATAATTACCATCCACATCAACAAGCAGCAGTGAAATTTAGAAACTCAACTCTAAACTCCAGAAACTTTTGCCAAACCAACCTTTCGATTTAATAAAATTCAAATGCTTTCAAGTACATGTAAATTGGTAAGAACATTTAAATAATCTATCAAAGTTTTTTTTTCTTCTTCTTTCTCAACAGATGTCCCTTCCCAAATCCCAAGTTTCTGGCTAAAATAACTGTGGTCCTTAAAAGTGACCACACTATCTGTGCTAACAATGGGTGTACTGTGTTTTTAATTAAAAGTGGAACTACTTAAAGGCCTGGCTAGACAGTGTAGGGTGATAGTAGCTTTTCTGCTTTGCAAGGAAGCTTAAGGATCGCATTGTGAGAGTACTGAAATGAATAGAGATCTAACTCAAGTTGTGTGAATTGTCCCTCTTCACAAACTTAAGCTGGTTTTAATTGATCTCATGTTCACTGATTGATCCTGCACCAATTGTTGTGCATACCAAACAATTGGCTTTCCCTGAAAAGATTGATTTAAATTAGTTCCTTGGTGAATGCTTGACTACTAGCCAAATCATGTCGGCAGTGACAGTTGACATGCTGGAGCCTATTGTGGTACCAACATTTTTCCCTTTTCCCCTTTGTTTTGGGTAGTAGCAGTTAAATATTTTCTAGGAAGAAAAGTGATTAGTACTTTTAAAAAAAGGTGTTGTAGCCTAAAAGATTAGTTATTTTCTTGGCTTTGTGCTACGATGTAGGCAGCAGTGGTACCAGGACTGGTTAGGCTTACCCCTGGGACCTGATTCTTTTTTCTTTTTTTTTTTTTCCCCCTTCATATTCCATCTGCAAATAATCAAACCTTCACTGTGGAGCATTTTCAGAACTCCTTTGGCATTATATTTAGTCTGCTCTATGATCTCAGATGCTCCATAATATCATTTTCTTAATGAAATAAAATTCTTGGCAGAGATCAGATAATTTAGTCAGTTAAAATCAATTGCATCCAGTCTGGAATAGAGAGCAAATATATCATTTAACTGTATATTTTATTTTGAAATATAGCCAGAGGATTGAGAAAAGAGAATGTTGACCCTCTCTGCTTTTGGACAAAACTCTTGGTTTGGGGGAGACCATCATAAACAACACTACTAGTCACCTACCACTTTTTCTTCCCCTTTATTTTGAAAACAAAACCATAACATAAAAATGCATTTCATAGTCACTAATGGGGACCGGCTGCAATAGGTTTTTCAATTAGGCACAAAGACAATACAGCCTTGAGAACGAATATCTTTTTAGAGGGCAGACACCTGCCAACATTTTGAAAAGCTGATTGACAACTCATGTTTTGTCTGTATGTAACAGTAATAAGATTTGTTGGCCCCCTCAACCTCCCTTCAGAATATAGTCCTTATTAGCTACTGTTAACCCCTACTGTTATATCTCTCTTGAGATCGCTTGTGATTTATTTATATGGCAAATGAATTGATTACTTTTGTTTTTTGGAATGGTTGTAAGCCCCATTTCAGGCTGAATTACTGAAAAGTGGCTAGACAAATCACAACTTCATTGTGGTCTCCTGGAATTTCTTGAGCTTAGTATGTAATAACTTAATCTTGTATCTCCTTCATTCTGTTGATATGCCTAGTCATATTTTAACAAGGGATTTATAAAAACTACTTGATAAAACTCTTTAAAAGCAGCAAGACTTCCAAACATATAATTGGTGTTTCTGGTGGTAGGGGGCGTGCTGTGACAAGTGTTTCCTGCTATAGCCTTTTCTATACTGAAGCACTGGCTTCTCCTTCCTCCATAATTTCTCATTTTCACAAAATTAGATTTGGCTTCTTCCATGAACATGAAGTGTTGATCACAAGTAGTGTGGTGTGTTTCTGGTAACTGAGGTTGGAAGAAACATAAACATTTTCTCTTAAACCTTATAGAGCTAAATTAGTGTTTGTATTTTTAAAAATTTAATGAAGAGATTTGGAGATATTTGTTTTTTACAAGTACTTTTAAGTAATTTATTTCTTGTGATATTTCAAAATACAAAATGGCACATGGAACATATTAACCTACATTTAAACGTTACAAAATACATTTTGTATGCTTGCTTCCTTTACGTTCCAAAGTATTTCAGAAAAACTGAGGTGATGTTTAACTTTGCAACATAAACATGTTCTTTTTTTTTTCTTTTCTTTCTTTAATTGGCTGCTTTTTTCATAGCATAATTGTACAAATTTTTCTGGCCAAATTTTTCTGGCCAGCGTCTTACCAGTGCAGGGAGGTCAGAAAGTTGCTGTGCCCAAATCAATGTCGTATTTTGCCACTGAAATTTGGAAGTGATTCATAATAGGTGACATTCCCTTAAGTCTCTGGCTTTCTTTATCTGCTTTTAAAATCCAACTTGGACAGAATCCAGTATTTCCAGAAACCACAGGTTGGAAATGACACTTCTAATTCCTTAATGCAAAACCGCTTCTTGATTTGTTTAGAGACTAACAAGCCAGTTCATGGATTATCCAGGATACTTCTGCCTCTTTCCTCCCAACTAACTGCCTTTAAACCATTTTTTTCTTCCCTGGAAAAAAGTACCCTTATCCATCCCAAGTCTAGGAAATAGATGACAGACAGATCTTTTGATATAATGCTTGATAACCACCTTTCTAAAAGGAGGTAGGTGGTAAGCTTTGGGATGATGGTAGTTTTAAATTTTCTGTATTTTTCAAGATGACATGAGGTTTATTATTTTTTTCCTGATTAACTGCAGCAATCCAGAGTTGATCACTAAGTGAAGACAGTGTAGCATGTCTGTATTTATAAATTTCCATATTTTCAGCTGGAATAAATAAGGAAGGTGCTAGCACTAAAGTGCATATATAACGCATATAACTATATAGATAATAGGAGAGATACTCATACACGTGTATGTGTGCGCATGTAGAGAGCGGGAAGAGGACAGTGCGATTAT